CAGTCGGGGCGATATCGGACAGGTATCCACTGTCAGCACGTCCTTGTGCGCCATAAGGACACTCAGAGGCAAGTGTTGTGCTGATTGATCGTCTTATTAATCATTCACTGTTCTGTGAAACGCGATTTAGATTCCGTTTGACAAATTGCTGTAATCGGTATGGGTTGTTTTTTCTTCTTCTTTTGGTTTTGCTTTCTTTTTTGTTTAACGCCGCAGCAATATTCCAGCTGTATGGCGGTGGTCTGTAGATAATCAAGTCTGGATCGATTCTACGCAATTGGAATATGATGACATATGTGTCAACGAAATCAGCGAGCCTGACCACCCGATCCCGTTAGTCGCGTCAATCCGTATGGACATGGGGAGAAGGTTAACCAAAGATAATGAAATATTGTCACTTGTCAAGAAGTTTAAGGCTTGAACGCCACAGTTCTTCTCCCGTTGTAACTATACCCATGCCAATAATGGTCGTCCCCCCTTCAATGTTTTTAATTGGAGAGGGGTGTGGGGATGAGGTGTTGGGGGGGGAGGAGGAGGTGACAACCCTTATTGGCATGAGTATAGTTGTTGATTTCAGGATTTTTGCGGTGTTTTAGGTTGTGGTAGAGTATGAAGAGATGGACACAGGCGACCGAGACAGAGTAAAGTTTGAGATAAACTACTGGCTGATGATTTTTTTATGGAGAAACATGTTCAATGTGAACGACTCCCTCCCTTCGCTATAATGTATGTATGAAGTAAGTGGGATACGATGACATGTGTCAGCCAAGTCAGCTAGCCTGACCACCCGATCCCCTGTTAGTCGCCTTTTACTTCAAGGAAAAAAGTGAGTGAGACCATTTCATTATAGTGTGTGTGTGTGTGTGTGTGTGTGTGTGTGTACAGCGTCAAGGTACAGCAAACAGTGTTTCATTGGGTTTATAAGAGACAAGATGTTCAATGTATTAAATTATTACATTCATGAATAGTTGATTGTTTTCTTTAGACAGAATATGGCAATGAATAAACACAAATGCGAAAGACACTTATCATCCCCTTCACAGACGAGTTCAATTCGCATTTCGTGCCAAGCCGGATTATGCAGTGTTTTCCACGGAACGAAGAGAGTGGATGTAAATGTTGAGACTGAGTTCAGGTGAAATTTTACGTCGCATTGGCATTATAATAGCCATCGTGCGACGAGACCAAGTCTGTACATATACAAAATTTTATGTACACATTTTAAATGGTGTTTCTTAAACTACATGTACACTTAAACACTATTTACACTCTTCTCTTTAATTCTGCGACGATGAGGTTCAGCAGGAGATATGATGTACAAACACACGTGCAAGACGAGCTGTACAAGAAAGTATTCTCTTTAATGAAGTTAGATGCAATGGGTGCACTATATAGGTACAGCATGGTAACATAAATTAAATCACCTGTCGTAGGTTGTCATCAATTGTACCTCTTGCTTGCCTGGAGAATCATCGGTACCCTTGTTTCTAACGATACTCTATTCATACCTTCAGGGAAAGTATGTATTCATCCACCTGTTTTCTTATTGTCTTCCTGAGACGGTACGTAAGTCCCAAAACTTTAAAAGTAAAATATGAACTTTTAAAAAGTAGTATTTTTGTTATTTTAACTGTCGGCTAAATTTTCCTACAATCGCCAGCGGTTGAAGGGGTGGTGTAAACCCAGCTAGGGTCCATGCAGGTAGCAAAAGTCATGTAAGTCCCAATAGTTCCTAGTATGGTGATCTACCTTCAGTTGTTGGCGATCTATAGTCCGTGTTTTATACTGTATTGTCTTCTTTAATTGGAATGTTTTAGCTTTGCTCGCTAGTTTTATATTCATATCTGTGATTCTCTAGTAGTTTTACTGTCCATCGTCGACAGGTTTTAATCTTCAAAATGTTTCCAGTTTTTATTGCATACATTGTTTTCGTCACGATATGGCTGAGATATTGCCGATGTGACGTTAAATAGTAACTCACTCACTCACTCATTTATTATATAGATATTATGTTATCTGTGATGTCATATTGGGATTCTTGGATAAACCTTGGTATACTTGAAAAGCAGCTGAAGCAGTTTGCACTTCATCGCACATGGAAGTAATTACAAGGCTACCCTTGTCACGCCAAAGGCCTGAAGTCGAATCCCACATAGAAACACAGCGAGAAGCCCATTTCTGGTCTCACTCGCCGTGTTATTACTGGAATATTGTAAAAGCGGCGTAAATCCCAACTCACTCACTTATACCAAACAGTAATAGGTGCGTAAACATCACCTGTTTTCCTTATCTGCTGTTGTGGGTGGATGGATGGATGGATGGATTGATGGATAGTCAGACGGTAAGACAAACACTTTACACCTTTTCACTGACTTGTCCATTTAATTACCACCGCCATGAAGTGCTGTAGGAAGATACGTGTTGACCTGGGTTTCTCGGGATGAACTCACAATCATCCCAAGATGAAGGTTAGCCCCAAAATAAGGCCATGGCATTTCCGTGTCCACATCCATTTGAATCAAACCACTTACATGACCAATCCACATTTGTTTTCAATATTCATTGTACGTGTTTCTTCTATTTAGTATGTGTTTAGTAAGATGTTCCGTGACCATAAACGCTGTGCGTGCTCTGATGTCGTACAGAAGATTAAGGTTAAGGTCAGTCGGAATATTTCTTAAAACAATTATATTGACGAAAATCTTGAACTGGAGGCGAATACTAACACAATCAGCGAATCATACTACAATTAGTCAACTAATGAAACATATCTGTAGTGTGATCGAGTGAGTTAACATTTATCGTCACATCGCCAATATTTCAGCCATATCGTGACGAGAACAATTAATTGTTACAAATAGTAATTAATGGTAAGGTAGAAGAACCTGTCAACGAACTAGATGATCACAGATATGAATTTAAAACTAATAATTACATGTAAAACTCTTTAACTCTACATGAAAATACAAGATAAAAACAGGCTATAGATTGCCAACAACTGAAGGGAGATCACCATACTAGGGACTTACAGTACAGAAATACCGACAAGACAGTGCTTCAGTACTGTTCGATTTCACGGGGGTATCTGGCCTTGAGGTCGACCTTGTCATCCGTATTCAGGTGACTGTTTGATTTCACGTGGTTATCTGGCCTTGGGGTCGACCTTGTCATCAATATCCAGGTGACTATTTGATTTCACAGGTGTATCTGGCCTTGGGGTCGATCTTGTCATCAATATCCCGGTGACTGTTTGATTTCACGGGTGTATCTTGCCTTGGGGTCGACCTTGGCATCAGTATCCAGGTGACTCATTGATTTCACGGTGGTATCTGGACATGGGGCGATCTTGGCATCAGTATCTAGGTGACTCATTGATTTCACGGGTGTATCTGGTCTTGGGGTCGACCTTGGCATCAGTATCTAGGTGACTCATTGATTTCACGGGTGTATCTGAACATGGGTCGATCTTGGCATCAGTATCTAGGTGACTCATTGATTTCACGGTGGTATCTTGCCTTGGGGTCGACCTTGGCATCAGTATCTAGGTGACTCATTGATTTCACGGTGGTATCTGGATATAAGTCGATCTTGGCATCAGTATCTAGGTGACTCATTGATTTCACGGTGGTATCTTGCCTTGGGGTCGACCTTGGCATCAGTATCTAGGTGACTCATTGATTTCACGGTGGTATCTGGACATGAGTCGATCTTGGCATCAGTATCTAGGTGACTCATTGATTTCACGGGTGTATCTGGACATGGGGCGACCTTGGCATCAGTATCTAGGTGACTCATTGATTTCACGGGTGTATCTGGCCTTGGGGTCGACCTTGGCATCAGTATCTAGGTGACTCATTGATTTCACGGTGGTATCTGGACATGGGTCGATCTTGGCATCAGTATCTAGGTGACTCATTGATTTCACGGTGGTATCTGGACATGAGTCGATCTTGGCATCAGTATCTAGGTGGCTCATTGATTTCACGGTGGTATCTGGACATGGGGCGACCTTGGCATCAGTATCTAGGTGACTCATTGATTTCACGGGTGTATCTGGACATGGGGCGACCTTGGCATCAGTATCTAGGTGACTCATTGATTTCACGGTGGTATCTGGACATGGGTCGATCTTGGCATCAGTATCTAGGTGACTCATTGATTTCACGGTGGTATCTGGACATGAGTCGCTCTTGGCATCAGTATCTAGGTGACTCACATCCTGGTTCCCGGGCCTCTCATTGGTTTGTATAGAGGCCCTGGTATTGACCATGTAATGGCGGCGCACACTGGATAGATTCAAGATGGCGGACGAGGTAAGTTTACTATGGAACTGACCGATTTCTAATACTTCTAGCTGCGACATTCACACGACACTTGGCTTAGTAATGCAGAATGAAATTAGTATCTGAATCCCGGTAGCAAATAAATTTTAGAACAAAGAGGTTTGTCTCCATAACTCCATGTTTTCCCGAAGCGTAAGCCCCGCCCACTCGCGAATGTAAACACAACGTGCACGTTTTAGTGCCTCACATTACATGGTGCATACACCCATGACGGCATGAATATCAAACTATTTATTAATAAAACCATAGCTGTCTACCTTATTACACCTTTTGGCATTGTTGAATCGCGTTTTACAACTACAGAAAATAGAAACAATCGTCTGCAATCTTTACCAATAGTGCGCTGTCCCTACCTGATAACCTAGTAGCAGCACAAGGTATAACACCTGGACTTTTCTTACTTTGTTACTGTTCATTTCAAAATATATGCATAGATAATAAATTTTGTAATATGGTCACTTCAGAAATGGATGTTTGAATTTATTTATGTATTTCTTCAACTTTATTTCATGAAAAATCTATTTTTTCAGTTCAGTCTCAACCTTCATAGCTATGCCAAAGATGCTGGCAAGAAACATCCAGAAAATGAAAACAGAATGCCATCATTTCATCTTTGGCATAGCTATGCTGCTTCCAATTTACAAAAAAGAGAATTAGGGTCATCGCCAACAGGGCTCACACCTTATTCAAAGGAAAAGAGACTGGCTGTAAGTAAACATGAAGTATATTCATCCATACCAAAGGGTATACAGATTGTATACATATGTATTTAACTTACACCATTTTGTTATATAGTTTTCATTAACATAATTGTATATGCATAATTTGAAAATTGTTGTCTCAACACTGTATTTCCTATTGGGCCTCTTTTGATAACATCCCTTTTTTTCTAGCTGGCACCACTGACACAGGAACCAATAAGTGATCAACCAGAAAAAAGCACAAGAAAAAAATGGAGCAATGATGAAAATACCTTTCTGCTAGAACAAGCAGCAAGCTCAAAAGTGCACAGCAATATATTTTGGAATGACTGTGCCAAAAGACTCAAAGAAAAACTATCAACTTCACGTTCAGGTAACTTAGTATCCTATAATATTAAGTCTAATGTAACCAGGAGTTAACAATGTATTTATTTGCTTGGTCATTATATTCAGTTATAGGTATAGATTCACTCATTGATGATTAATTTGAACAACTGCATTGTGTTAGTTCACCACAAAATATAAATATACATGTATATTATCTTACAGGAGAATCTTGCAGACTTTAGTACAAAAGGATTCGATCGAGAACAGGTCATTCAGGTGATAAATCTATGACAATTTATGTCATATATACATTTTCCAGTAGATAAATGTTTGTTTACAAGATTATCTATTTACATCAGCAGTCCACTCCTTTTCCTAGATTGATGCGCCAGTTCATAACTTAGCCAAATGCCTCCACTTAAAAGATGTATGTTATGTACCATGTGTACAGACTGATAGTTAATAAGTAATCTAGTTACATGCATGATTGTCCGAGATTTAAATAACTATATTAAGGGTATGTATTCAGCTGGAGTTTACATTTGTAGTATGTTTCTCATCAAATCTGCAATAAACAAACTGGTAAAAAACCAGTATTATGCTGTTGAATATAATACATTTGATAACAACCACCACAAAGCAGTGTTAATTACTCAATCCTAGAAAAATACCAGGAAGGTCCGGGTTAGAAGGTAGCCTTCAGTAACCCATGCAGGTCGTAAGGCGAATAACAGTATCGGTTAGACTGGCTGACTTGGTTGACATATGTCATGGTTCCAATTGCGCAGATCAATGCTCATGCACTTGATCACTGGATTGTCTGGTCCAGGCTTTATTATTTATACACCAATGCCATATAGCTGGAATATTGCCGAGTGCAGCGTGAAATTAAACTCACTCACTCACTCATTCCTGAAAATCCTGTTTCCTTTCAGAATCTGCCTTTACATTGGAAATAGAGGGTGTAAGTAATCAGAACCAGACAATGGATGCAAGCTGTCAGACAGACTTGTCAGTACCACCTGAAAGGTATAGTGGCATAAGTTTATCATGCATGATATTGAAATTTGTGGGTAAAACTAAACTTTACACATGTAGTAAGCAGCATATGGGTATTACTTTAAATTCATTTTTTTTAACTTGGTCCAGCAAGCTGGATGCCCTTGGTTTCAAAGCACTACATTGTGCACTGCAGGGCCATCATAAATCCAGGTAAATCATTTTAATGGAACAGTTGAACTATTTTATTAATTCTGTATGTCTTGTGATATATAGCATGAATTTTATAGCACAGTGGATGCAGGAAATAAAATTTGTGAAATGTCACCTTACTTTTGTCTAAGTTTTTGCTTGTTGATTATTTTCAGTTATACACTTTAAAAGAATAGATGGCTTTATGTGCGGGTCAAGGTCCGACGACAAAGCAGGTTTCACCTACCAAGAGCATCGCTGGAGGGGAAACAGGGAAAACATGGAAAGATAATCCTGCCCCGCAGAGATTTTACGCCATGAATTGGAAAAAGGTTATGAAACAGCCAGTTCTGAATACATTATCACTGATATTCTTACTGAGATGCTACATACCAACTCCACTGACGATTCTGTCATTACGTGATATTCTGCAATCAGACACTGAAGAAATCTTTATGGAAGATGTTCCTTTGTGACATAAGGGAATCATCGAGGAGCATGTGTGAAAAGGGTAAAAGCTACTTATTCCACAAGGACTATCAGTCACTGAAAACTTTCAAGTGGGAAGGGGTCATTAATGAAATGGTTTCGAACAACCCTGAACTTGTTCAAGTGTTGCTAGCTGTTTCAGTACCTAAACGAAAAATGACTGATGTTAAAATGCTGGAGTCTGTTGTAAAGAAATTAGGATTCTTGTGTATGGAATTCTCATGAAAGCCAGGTGGAAGGACTTGTCAAGAATTCAAAGATTAATTTCCATGGTTATGTGTGATGAGAAAGTTCCTCAAAAAGTAATGAACAAGTTTTGAAAGTTTCTGTTGTTAATATTTGTTGATTGGAACTATTTGTTTTTACACTAACCTCAAACCAAATCAACATTAAAAGTACCCAGGCACGGCAACTGTTCTCTCATTTCTATCATTTTGTGAGTCTTTGCTTTAATCTATTTGAATCATATATGTCATGCACCAGATAACATATTTTATTTCAAGAGTACTTTCATTGAAAAAGTGAATTGAATTCTAGTTTCAACAATTGTACTTTATACAACTACTGTACACTATGTAAATTTATAATCAACTGAATATATAATTTCTGTTAATTATCTGTTTTGTTCTTTTGTTTTTGTTTACGTTGTTTTATGTTAGCATGCAATATCTGTTTAAATTTAAAAAAGGGATAATTTTGTAGCAGGGAATCATGTTGAGTCCACTTGCAAAGCTCCCCTCATTAATTAATTGTACAACTACAAGTCAGCTTGATGGCATAAATATGTAATAGCTAGTTCATAGTTTAAACATACAATTTGTATTACTATGACCAACAGTAGAGTCCTAAAACAGACCATAATCCCAATAAGTCAAGAAAAGCTTGGACTAAATTCTTATCTCAGGTGATGTAACTGGAAACATTAAAAATGTACATTCTAATGAGAACACCAATAGTTGAGGTTAAAAATATTTGATAATTGTTAACATTGATCAGTGAAACTAGTTGCTTTTGAGCTGAGTATACTTTTAAGAATTCATTCTATAAGTTTCATCTGACAAAATAAGGTGAAGCTGTGTGAAAATAATCATTATCATTTCATGTTACCTCACACTTATACCCAATTTTATATCAAAGTTATCCCTGCATGGCGAATGAAGTTTCCATGAAGTTTTAGTTTATGCTGCATAACAGTGATGCTTCTAATTTCTAGTAATGTTTTTTGTGATGATGCAATTTGTTACAGTCAGATTTTCAGTTCTGCTATAACAAATATATAAAGAACTTTTTATTCTAAAAATTCAAACAGTGAATATTCTTCATTATTTCTGAAGTGTTTCAGGCATAAGCCCAGTGGGACTGTACCATTTATAAAACAATAGTTTAGGGGTGTAATATTTCAAATTCCAATTTCACAAAATTCCTGAACAAATAAGCAATTGGATTATACCTGCAACACTTTGAAAGTATTATCACTTCTGGCTGTTCTAAATTTTAGAGTAATTATGAGAGCATCATTTCATTAACAAAACTTAGCTCTAGAACCAGAAAGATCTTGTTCGGAAGGAATTTTCAGCAGTCATTAATTCAGCTGAACAAATCCATTTTCCAACAAGAACTTTAATACTGTTTTCATGTTCCAGCAGTTTGCTTCTTCAGTTTCTGTTTTTCTGCATGCCAACCAAAGACAAGACAAGGTATGAACATGTTATTATTATTTTAATATGATTATTTTTCACAAACAGTTTTGATGTTTAATTCATATACATGTATTGTCATTAATACCTAGACACATACTGATCAAACTAAGCCAAAACTACCCTACTGTTCATAGATCTTAAATATCACCAAATGTTTTGATTGATGCAACATTCAGGATAATAACCAACGCAACTTCCAATTCCCACTTTGACAATTCTTTTCATTGAATTTTTGCAGATCTATGATCGCCTTTCAGCCCCCTGGTGTCTGTGTTCTTCTACAGTGTGACCACCCCACAAGTGTTAGACACTTATCAGTGGACACTTTGGAGACAGAACTGATTGATTCCTTGAAACAGGGCAAGCTGATTTAGACTTGTTGGTGACAATATCAACTTCTCAGTGGATATCAGTCATTTAAGAGAGTCAAAGAAGAAACATATGGAACACTGGTTTGGCTCGGCTGCACTGATTCAAACACCATCTTTTGGACACTCTCCTACAGTAGTACCACAGTGTAATATCTTTGACTTAACATGGGACACATTCTTGCCACAGACTGATGACTGGAATCGGATTCGACAAGACTACTCCATACTTGTTATGAGGGTACTTCTACGTCACACATGCCAGTTTTCAAGATATTGTCCAGTTCTTTGCCAAAGTACCTATCCTTCGCACCAATCAGATGAGATGAAAAAGCGGGACCAAGGTTATTCCTCTTCCTGTCATGACCAAAATGAACAAAGATACAGTGAAGTCATTGATGTTCTTGATGCCTATGAGGATCTTGTGAAAGATGTATATGAGAAGGCAAACATCCCTCTTATACCAATGATGACCGCATACACATTGGTGGAGATCAACTGACTCGAGAAAGATTTTTCTGGTGCCAAACGTCTGAGATGTATTGGTCCACCAGGTCCAAACAAGTTCCTCCATCTCAGCCCAATAACATTTGAATTTTCCACCTACAGATGGTCTTGCTGACTATTTTGTACAAATGTCTCTATAATGAAAAGAGCACTGAAATAGGTACTCTTGGAGCAGAACGAATCGAACTAGGACGTAAAGAGAGCTGATGGGGAGCAATGTAAAAGTCACTTTGAGGATTGTAAAGAACTTGCGGTATCACTTGTTGACATGTACATTCTGGAGGCAGCTTGTCATTTCTTTGGTATGGACAAACTTGATGGTGTCCCAACACGACCAGTTCCTCAGTTTGGAGAAATGACACCCTGATGACCAGCTCATATGGATTCAGGACAACATTGGTGAAATGGTGAACACACTTGTGTGGCCATTTGCTAAAGAAACTATTGATGATATGCAGAAACCAAAAGCTACTCACCACATGGTAACACTTTTATGATGCCAAATGGACATCCACAAACTTTCTAATTCCTGTCCAGGACTCGCAGAAGACAGTGAAAAAGTCACACAACATCAAAGATGGCTGCACAATCTATGCCCATAATTTTCTGGAGCTCGGCCTGTTGTTCAAAGAGTTATCTGATGCAATACACTGCCCAGACAGAATACGTATGATATCCATCTTGAAACTTGCCATGCTTGTTTGCAAAGGCAGCAGCACCAAATCCAAATATGCACTTGAAATACTGAGATTTCTGTGTCATCAGCTTGCTACTTTGAGCGAGAAAGTTGCAAATGAATCTTTTTATGGTTGTTTTGTCAATACTGGAGGAAAAGTGGACACCCATATTGCAGCTGACATGGCAATGGAGCACCTGGTGAGGAATGTCAAAAGCCATATCCAAGCTCTGCATTCCAACAAGTCTGAAAAGACAATCAAAAAAAGAACTGGTGCTTTTGCTGGCTTGTCAACAATCTGTGAAAACTTTGACAGGGAAAGTGATATGATCATAAGGGCACATAAGCACAAGTCTCCTAGTGCTGATAAAGATGAGATGATGTTGTTTGACAATATTCATCGTATGAAGCCTTTTAGTAATCAGAATGGAAGACCTCTGGGGTCACACAGCAGTCTCTCCAACTCACTGATAAGCAAACTCACAAGACATCAACTACAGAGTTGGATCAGTGGACATCAAGTTAATTTCAAACACGAAATTGGCCAGTAAAGTATGTCCACAACTTGGCATTTTGATAGTATCTACTTGTTTGTGTGTAATTGCAGGATGGAAGTAATGATTGTTGACAGTGCTGTCACAACAGAATCATCTAAGTCGAAGGCTGATTTAAGTGTGTCTTTCTTAGCAAACCAGTGAGGCTGGCATACAATCTGTTCAATTGTTGATGTTGATAAAACACCTTTGAGACAACCACTATCATCCTCAGCTATGTAGGAAAGAATTGTGTTCCTTACTGCATCCTTCAGGTTTCTAGAAGATTCATATATGTAGGGTGATTTCAGTTCAGGATGACAGATATCACAGCAGACTTCTGCACGAACAGCAGGGAAATCACTGAATCCAAAACTGGAATTCACCATCTTCCTACGACAGACAGTGTTGCTCTTACACAAATCTTTCATTTCCTGTACAACTGCAGGTCTGCCAACATCGGAATTGTTGTAGTACAGAATGGATAATGCCTGTTCTACCAGTTCTACCAATCTGCTGCACATAAGCTGAAAAAAATAACATTAATGCATAAGAGTTGTCTTGAAGTTCATGAGCTTATGTAGATGTAGTTTGATGAGCTTATGATGGATTGTAATTTTACATGTATATGTATATCTTTTTATTACTTTTAGAAAAGTTATTCATTACTTAATGTCAGCAGTCAAAATAGAAATGAACATAAAATGTATTATTTACACAGAGTGCTCATAATCCAGACAGTGCTCATAATCCAATTCAGCATTGACATTTATTAGCCTGTGTCATTACTGTTGTGTTCTTTACTCATGTAACACCAGTGTCTTCACTCAGCCAGCCTGACATACTCTCCTGCGCTGAACACTGCAGAAGGCACGTGACATTTAGCCCAATGCAAGAGTCTTCATTTCAAGGCACCATTTAAAAAGAAAGTAATTTTCAGTTTTTCACTGATTTGTGCTGAAATTATCAAGTTTTACCTTCCATAGTCTTTGGTGGTCCTATCTGTATAACCCTCCTTACATGCCTGAGGTCAGCACCCATACCCAGGGCCACAGTGGAGAAGACAAGCTTTAATGGGCTGTCACTGGGATCCATGGACAGATTCTTCATTATTGTTTGTCTGAGCTGAAAAGACAAAATGCATAACACTAAGTGAGGTTAAAATGGTACAAATGTATTTAGAAGTGACAAATTCAAATTGTTGTTACTTGTCAAGATGATTAACTGATGTTTCAAAGTTTCTATTACTGTGTATATTTGATTTTTCATGTTGAGTAAGTGACAAAAGAATTTGAGTTTTAATAATGCCAAAAACTGATATTGATTTTTTTTCTTTTACCTGAAATGTACACACTTATGTCAATAATAAATGCAGTGGATAAAGATTATGATATTACATCATTTTAAACATGAACTATTGGAGTTTTGTAATATGAAATGCAGAGGTTTAATATGTCTTACCTGATCAGATCCTTTTTCCAGTGAGGCATGATACATTACAACCCTGGCAGAGTCTTCATTGTTAGAATCAACATAGAATTTGGGGCCAAGAATGTTTTTTGACAGTTCATAACTGACTCCAACCCAATTCTGACTTCCACTGAAATATACTATGGTCAGTGGGAAGTTCTGTCCTTTATCAATCAGCTCTAAGATTAAAGGCTCAATGCAGTATTCAACTGAAAATTGAGCTGATTCCTCCCCTGCTGATGTTGCTGCAGGCCTCTTGATGACAATGATAGAAATATTGTCTCTGGCAGGGTATGTAGAGACAACCTTGTGATTCTTTAATGCAAGTAGCTTTGCAATATCATTCTGTCCCTTCAGTGATAGCGTTGCAGTCATTGCGAGTATAGTAGCATGTGGCAGTACTGCTCGCAGCTTATGTAGTCTCTGGAAGCTTGGTCGAAAGCTGTCCCCCCAGTCCAGAATACAGTGGGCCTCATCAATAACAATATAGCTTTTCACATCTTCTTGGAAGTGTTTATGCAAAAATATGTCATTCACCGGCTTCTGGTCAATGATGCTTTCAGGATGAGCAAAAAGGTAAGTATAATGGCCATTGAGTAACTTTGTCCCTTCTGGAGATGTAGAGTTGAGATATTTTAGGTTAGCAGAGAGGCTTATGGCTTTATTCCCAAACTTTCTAAGTTGTTGATCCAGGATCACATTCAGTGGCACAATGACAATAACGAATGCAGTTTTGTCTCTGGATTTATTGTGTAATATTGGTAGAATTTCATATATGAGTGATTTCCCATATCCTGTGGGTAAAACAGAAATTGTATCCCTTGCAAAACATTATTCAATGTTTCTTTCTGTAGTGGCTTGAAGTTCAAAATTGCAGTTTTGTGTTCTTGGTTGTACTCCTCTAGAGATGCAGCATACACATCCTGAAAGTTATATTTTAAACATGAAATGAACGAACAAAAGTATACTTTGTACTTCACTCCAATTATTAGTAATACTTATAAAATGAATAGGTAAAATATGAGAAAGTTTATGATAAAACAAACAAATTATTTTTAAATAAAAACAAAACAAACAACAAACACACTTTGACAATGCAGTCTGCTATACAATAACAATTAATAACCATGCACAATTTGGGGAACGATTATTTCCTAATACAAAATATTATGTACTCACTATTTTATCAATTTTGTTGGCAATAACAACAATTTTTAAAGTATGAAGGTGTTATATACTGATAAAACACCAGGTTCCCAACTAAATAACCTTGAACAAAAAAGTATCCCCTGTACAGGGGTAGGTAGGGACAGCGCACTATTGGCAAAGATTGGAGACGATTTTTTCTATTTTCTGTAGTTGTAAAACGCGATTCAACAATGCCAAAAGGTGTAATAAGGTAGATAGCTATGGTTTTATTAATAAATAGTTTGATATTCATGCCGTCATGGGTGTATGCACCATGTAATGTGAGGCACTAAAACGTGCACGTTGTGTTTACATTCGCGAGTGGGCGGGGCTTACGCTTCGGGAAAACATGGAGTTATGGAGACAAACCTCTTTGTTCTAAAATTTATTTGCTACCGGGATTCAGATACTAATTTCATTCTGCATTACTAAGCCAAGTGTCGTGTGAATGTCGCAGCTAGAAGTATTAGAAATCGGTCAGTTCAATAGTAAACTTACCTCGTCCGCCATCTTGAATCTATCCAGTGTGCGCCGCCATTACATGGCCAATACCAGGGCCTCTATACAAACCAATGAGAGGCCCGGGAACCAGGATGGGTGACTCATTGATTTCACGGGTGTATCTGGACATGGGGCGACCTTGGCATCAGTATCTAGGTGACTCATTGATTTCACGGTGGTATCTGGACATAAGTCGATCTTGGCATCAGTATCGTTGTGACTCATTGATTTCACGGTGGTATCTTGCCTTGGGGTCGACCTTGGCATCAGTATCTAGGTGACTCATTGATTTCACGGTGGTATCTGGACATGAGTCGATCTTGGCATCAGTATCTAGGTGACTCATTGATTTCACGGGTGTATCTGGACATGGGGCGACCTTGGCATCAGTATCTAGGTGACTCATTGATTTCACGGGTGTATCTGGCCTTGGGGTCGACCTTGGCATCAGTATCTAGGTGACTCATTGATTTCACGGTGGTATCTGGACATGGGTCGATCTTGGCATCAGTATCTAGGTGACTCATTGATTTCACGGTGGTATCTGGACATGAGTCGATCTTGGCATCAGTATCTAGGTGGCTCATTGATTTCACGGTGGTATCTGGACATGGGGCGACCTTGGCATCAGTATCTAGGTGACTCATTGATTTCACGGGTGTATCTGGACATGGGGCGACCTTGGCATCAGTATCTAGGTGACTCATTGATTTCACGGTGGTATCTGGACATGGGTCGATCTTGGCATCAGTATCTAGGTGACTCATTGATTTCACGGTGGTATCTGGACATGAGTCGCTCTTGGCATCAGTATCTAGGTGACTCATTGATTTCACGGGTGTATCTGGCCTTGGGGTCGACCTTGGCATCAGTATCTAGGTGACTCATTGATTTCACGGGTGTATCTGGACATGGGGCGACCTTGGCATCAGTATCTAGGTGACTCATTGATTTCACGGTGGTATCTGGACATGGGTCGATCTTGTCATCAGTATCTAGGTGACTCATTGATTTCACGGTGCTATCTGGACATGGGGTCGACCTTGGCATCAGTATCTAGGTGACTCATTGATTTCACGGGTGTATCTGGACATGGGGTGACCTTGGCATCAGTATCTAGGTGACTCATTGATTTCACGGGTGTATCTGGACATGGGGCGACCTTTTGCATCAGTATCTAGGTGACTCATTGATTTCACGGTGGTATCTGGACATGGGTTGATCTTGTCATCAGTATCTAGGTGACTCATTGATTTCACGGGTGTATCGTGCCTTGGGGTCGACCTTGGCATCAGTATCTAGGTGACTCATTTCACGGTGGTATCTGGACATGGGCTGATCTTGTCATCAGCATCTAGGTGACTCATTGATTTCACGGGTGTATCTGGCCTTGGGGTCGACCTTGGCATCAGTATCTAGGTGACTCATTGATTTCACGGTGGTATCTGGACATGGGGTAGACCTTGTCATCAGTATCCAGATTGTTGTCACAGGATCACACATAGATGGATTCAAATGTCTCATGGATCACCAATTGTGGGTCAACGTAACCGATGTTTTTTCAGCCACAGATAAATACCAACATAAGTGCACATTGGTACCACACTGTACTGAACCTATCACGATTCCTGTTTATATTTCCGACTGTTTCCAGTTCAATTTTATTAATAAACACACTTTACCCAACAGTCTATCCGTTGTTTTGAGTTGAGATAATTTGGGCTTTACGTCACATCGGCATTATTCCAGCCATATAGTGACGAGAGCAAGTCTGCATTAATACCGTTGTTTTGATGAAGCTATGACAACTGACTGATAATTCCACAGCACACTCAAATAATTCACAACTATGAAGTGCCTTCGTGTTCGTATTTTAGTTTCAGAAACGTTATGGGCTTACACATATATAAATAGTACCAGTACTCCATTGGACTGTCGTTGGACTGAAATATTGCCGATGTGACGTTAAATAATAACTCACTCACTCACCCATTGGCCTGTAGGACGGACATTCATCACTTGACATTGGAAACTCGTTCGAACACTTACTTTACTTCTCAGAAATAGATGTTAGTATTATAATTCATTTAGCTGGATACATTTCTGGAAATATTTCAGTGAACAAAACATTCTGCGAACCATTTTCTCACTTTGTAGTTTACAAGAAGGATGTCGTCCCTCCGTGCTGGGAAGAGTTGGTGCATGTGGCTGTGTTGGACAGTTTACGTTCATAGCACTGTTTATGAAACGTACCGCATACTGTTATGCAAGAAACAGAATGGCAAGAAGAGGCAAAGGAACCATATACCCTGTTCTTGAACATTGCCTGCTTTCATGTGCCGTGATCTGTGGCGCACACGGGAAATGTCTGTATTTTGTGTACAGCAGGCACAGTCAACGATCTCGTGGTTACAGTGATGATCGTAAGTAGATGCTCACTGTAAATAAGTTCGGGGGTGGTGTGGGTGGCATGGAGAGAGAGTGTTTGATAGTGTGTGTGTGTGTGTGTGTGTGTGTGTGTGTGTGTGTGTGTGTGTGTGTGTGTGTGTGCGTGCGCGCCATTGGTTATACAGTATTTTACTGTGCATGGTTATTAAAGGCCAAGACACAAACAAGCTTTATCAATCTTTCTGACGTTAGATTCGCACGAATTTGTTGACGATATCAACATTTTCACAGTTGTGTATTTTTGCGAACACGGACGTGCTAGTATCACACATTGAACTTCAGGTCAACTTCGTAAGTTCAAACAGTCACAAGAATAATCTGTACATCACAGCGTTGTATTCTATTTTTTATGACGATTTATAGTCACCTCCGCAATATTTCAGCCATTTTGTGACTTTAAAAAGTTATAAATCAACAATACAGACAATTTAATTATAAACCAAAAAACAAACAACAGAACTCGTCAAAGGACAGTAAAATACCAAAAAATTAGAGAATTGAAACTTGCATGTAACTTTAAAAATTATACAAAGAGTACAGACAATGCTACATAAAAGTGGCACTATAAAACCAGCTTCAGTCTGGGCTAGTACAAGCAGCCGCACATACACATACACACGCATGCACGTCGTCATATGAGCGAAATATTCTCAAGCACGACGTTAAACCCAATTTCACCTCACCTCATTTTGATAGCACAATCGGGTGAAGAGTTAGTCATCGGGTTTGTTTTGCACACGGTCGGCAACGGTGAAAATCTTTTCTTCTCAGTAACCGTTGGACATCACATGGGATGGCTGGTCTACATTCTGTGTTATTGTAATGGCAAGATACAACTTTTCGTATTCCATCAAATCCAATAAATATAAAGAAAACACTCAAAAAAGTATTTAAAAAGAAAACAAAACAGATTTGCAGCTTTAGGTGAGGTTGGGACGAGATGGACCTGTTACATGTAAATCGACAGACTGACAGAATATTGATACGGATAATTGAGACGCGTATTGCGCATCGTGAATATAGTCGTACACTCTTTCTGTGATTCTCACACATGCGCACTTGCATCCTTACACTCAATGGAAATGGGGGCGGTGGGGTAGCCTAATGGTTAAAGCGTTGGCTCGTCACACCGAAGACCCGGGTTCGAATCCCCACATGGGTACAATGTGTTAAGCCCATTTCTGGTGTCCCCCGCCGTGATGTTGCTGGAGTTGCTGGAATATTGCTAAAAGCAGCGTAAAACCAAACTCAGTCAGTCAGTCAGTCAATGGAAATGTTTGGATGATCCAGGTTAGAACTGCCATTCACAAATTGGATATGGTGGCCATTCATTCAGGTTGATTCATTTCATTCGAGGTTATGCGTATCTCAGTTGCCTTAATAGACGCTCGTGATGTCAATGACCGGACTGTATGGTCCCAAACTGTCATTATATACTATAGTCTGTTTGCAGTGAAAACGTACCGGTGCATTTCACTTTAAACAAAAATGTAAATGGAATAAAGTGAAATTAAGATTGCGAATCCCCATAATTCTACCTTGCCAATTGAAAATTTAGATCTTAGATTTTTATTCAACTTAGGAAAAAAGTTGTTTAACAAATAAATCACGGTCAAGCATCTCCTGCTTGACTGTGTTGAATATTCCATCACAAGGGATATCTATTTCAAATCACGAAATGTAATTCCTTTAAAATACAATTATTAAAAAGATCCTTCATGTTAACTGATTTGTAGATAGATAAATATTTTATGATTGGAAGTTTAAATTAATAACTCAGATTGTTAGTGGCTGTAGCCCTCAAAGAGGGTTAAAGTACTGTAAAATTATTGTCCGTAAGGGTACGTAAGTTCCAAAACTCGTATTAAGCGCAGAAGTTTTGTGATTTTAATTATGGCTAAATTGTGACTACAATCGCCGCCAGCTGAAGGGGAAGGTGTAAATCCAACTAGGGTCCATGTAGGTAGCAAAGGTACTGTACGTCCCCATGGG